AGGAAGGAAGGAAGGAAGGAAGGAAGGAAGGAAGGAAGGAAGGAAGGAAGGAAGGAAGGAAGGAAGGAAGGAAAACCACCACCACACACACACACAAAATAAAGCCTTGGAATGGGCAAAAAATATGTTAGGCGTGCTAGGGAGTGGAAAAATACATGACAGGTTTCAGAGTCTGGACATCACCGTGTAGCAACATCACAAAGAATTAATTTAAGTATCGAAAGTAACTTTATGGCCTCAGTCAGCCACACAGACTTACACCAGCACATTTAAACAGAAAGTGGACTCTGAGGGAAAACATTTTGCACATGGGCAAACTGTCTCACTAGGTAAACATAAATAATACCAGTGAAACCTGAGTATATTTTGGGAGGACATCAAAAAGCAAAAAACCTGCGAGAATAACGGAGCCTTTGACACAACCTGGGGCCACGCTCCATATGGCAATCAGCAGCAGCCAAGGAAGAGACCATTGCTCGCATTGTTCAAGCAGCTTGAGAATTTCYGCAGGGACAGAACTTTTGGCTTAACTAAACCGGTTCAGTTCCACCTCTGCAGGTTCATCTATCACTGGTGCAGAAAGACCCAGTTGCACAATAAATCCAAGCTCCATTGTTTTTCTTGTTTAGTTAAATATCTTAAAAAAATACTTGGCTGAACTACCCCCATTCTCCTTAAGCTCTCAGTACTTTTCCACTGCTGCAATGCCAGGAGCTGGAAGGAGCAAAAGCTGATCAGCTGCAGCCTTCCTTGCCATGCAGTTCTGTGTTGCTAGGTATAGACAGCTTACTTAGAAACATTTATGTTAAAAAGCAGTTGTAGTAATAAAGTCTCTGAAAGGAAAGGCAAAAAAATAAAAAAGCTATGCTGATAAGCTGGGCTCTGGGCCTGCTTGCTTTCTTTTTAAATAGATTTAAATGAGTTCACTTCACTGAGATGCCACCTCTTGTTTTACATGACTGTAAAAGCAGCAAAAGCAAGCTTGGACTCTCTGCTAGAGAAGATAGGGAAGATTAAGGGGATTCTTTTGTACTGGCCTTTTGCTGTTTTACACATTAATAAAACTGTATGTTCCCTCACACAGCCACGCTATTTTCACCTGCTGGCATATGCGTACGTATACATATCAGTACTTGTACTCTGCTGCTATACGTACCGGTCTGCCGTGAATGCTTTCGTAGTACAGCAGGGCTTTCTGAAGAGCCACTTTCTCGGCTGCTATCTGATCTCTTGTCATGTCCTGTAAACATGGAGAAAAGAGGGAAAAAGTCAGATTCCGAGACTCAAACAGTACCAAACTCATGTTATTGTGTCATTAATGTTTGCAAGACTCACCACTTCTTTTCAGTCCCCTTTTCTCAAGTTATATGCCTGCACAGACTGTTACTTTGCACCGTGACAGCAGATTAAAGCCCCCCAAAGGTCTGAACAAGATGTATATGTTGTATGTACATAAGGGGATTTATCAAGTGTCAGTGAGCTTTGAAAAAAAMCACTGTCATGCAGTTATTAGCTGAGGTGATTGTTTGTCACTTAAGAAAGCCTGCAGGTTAAGTCCTGCAAAGAAATCCATGCTCTTTCCTTTCCTCCAAATCTGTAACAGGCCCTGGCATCTCTTGCAAAGTTTGCTGCCTTTCTTTGASTGCCACCAACACACTTAGCTAACGAGTGAAGTGCAGTCAGATCATCTCCTGCCAATACTGCTATGGGGTGATAAGCTCTGGCAGACAGCCTGAGGAGACCAAGCCAAAAAAAGGCAGACTGATGCAAGAGACTTCCCTCGCTAAGTTTGCCTGAGTGCCTCCACCGAACATTGTTTCCCTATCACTGCCCCATACATTATCACAGATTGTCTTGAAAAGGCCAGCCTGGGGATTCTTGCTACTGCTGCAAAACTGCCAAACACACTCTGTGTATCTTCTTGTTCTGCAAACCTAGTAAACAAAGATAATTCTGTCTGTCTGTCTCTTACAAAGCACTGCACAATTTACATGTCAGTAGGCTCAAGGACTTCATTTACATGGCTAGCACCAACTTGGGAACTACAACATCAGACACAGGGATCTCTTTGCTGCTCACCCTCAGCAATTACAGAAGCTAACAGGACTCCATACAAAATTCAGAAGAGCAGTGATAAAAAGCCCTGAAAAAGGGCATTTGACTGTGGAGTGAACCAAAAGAAAATAGATGTCCTAATTTCTGGAATGATTGTAAGACTCAGAATTTGCCAAAGCTTTTGGCCATAACAGAAATGTTCAAATCTAAACACAACGTGCCAGCATCCACTTGGAATCGGTGACAGTCAGATCAGAAAGAAAGCACAATGACATTCAGTAGAAAGGGAGCTCTAGGAAAGTAAATCACATAGATGAAAGACAGAGTGAGAGAAATAAATTCAAGTCAGGCAGGAATAAATGTTGTAGACAGTGTCAAAACCTAAAAGACTTTCACAACTGACTGTGTAGCCCTGTGCTCCACACTTGCACTTAGAAGTCAAAATCTCATCTGCAGGCATCGTACCTTAATATCTTCAGGTCGGTTTGTCTCTGCTCGTTTTTCTTGAAGCTTCTTCTGGATAGACTCGAGGGTCACTTCCACAGCAGGCTTGGCAGATTTATCTGACAAGTCTTGCTTCTTGTCATCTTCTTTTTCAAGCTGAGAACCAAAGCTCTTGGGGAGCGTGTTGCTCCGCTGACGCACCACAGGAGCGAGGTCTTCCTCCGATATCTTGAGTTTTGACTCTAAAGGAGAGATTTTGGCAAAAGAGTAATTGTTTTTCTCTCTTAAAATCTGCCTTCATTGACAGGATCACTGTCAAATATCACATTAAGAGAGGGCAACTCCAGCCTGGGAGGTCCCCCCAAGGGTGGCTGCTCACCTTTAAGTTGCTTTCGGAATTTGGCTAAGTCATTTGTCCATTTAAGCACTTCAGGGTTGGCTGCTTTGTCACTGTGGGAAGGCTGCAAGGAAAGAACAGTCATGATGAATTTGTGCTAACCATCAGCAGAGACCACTGAAAAAGACGCCTGTCACAAAGATGTACAGTAGATTTTGGACCCACAACAGAGCACAGACTCTGCCTTCTGACTGCTGCTTCCACGACCATGACCAGCTCACCTCAGACTTTGCTTTGATTGCCCTGCCTCTCACAACATCATCTCTTAGAGGCACTTTGACATTGATTTGTGTTCGTAAAACACTAAATTTTTGAAGACAAATTCAAACACTGCGTTTCAAGAGGACCTCAGAGGGCTGGATTCAGTCTGGAGTCCTTGGTCTACTCTTTCCTACCAGGTAAGCGCTCCCAAAATAAGAGAAATCCCACACAAGCAGTTTGAGAAGAGCTAAGATGTATGTATTCATACTGAAGGTTGTCTACCACCCAAAACAAATAATCCACATGCTTAGGCAACTGAAAGCTCTGCGCATTTCATTCAGCCTTTCTCAACTGCAAGCAAGATCCTTTCAGTACTATCCTCTGTGATTTAGTTCACCAGCAAACATGCACAGATGTGAAGCTTTAGTTCCTTAAAAAGATTTCTGTGCATCAGAAGGGCATGTCAGGAACAATTAGAGTACAGTACACTGCTGCTGCTCAGCAGCACTTGTCTGTGGTTCCTCACACAGGAGCAAAGGCGCCTGCTCTCCTCTCTTGCTTTGCGATGCTCTGGTGTCCTSGGATTACTGTCAGGGAAGCTTATGCAAATGAGGCCTGCAATTGTGCTTCGTAGCAGCTAAACTTCCAGTAAACAAATAAATGAGAATTTAAGCATAGCTCTTCCCACAGTGGGAGATATTGGCTCTTAGAACACTACCTAAATCGGTGAGCAAAATTTTAGGTGTTCATGAAGCTATTTCTCATGCTGCATTGACAGCACACAACACTCGGGAAGGGAATTCACTTGTTACAGATGGCAGGCTTTTAATTTAAAAAGAAAAAAAAAATCTAGCTCGGTGTATGTGTTTGACAACATGATTTGATGTCCTTTGCCTCTGTTGCTAATCCACACCAATGCCTAACTCCCAAACACTCACTCTGTATTTCCTCTCCTCTTCAAATTTGTCCTCAAACTTCCTGATCTTTTTCTTCAGTCCCTGAATCCTCCGGGTCAACTGTGCAGGGGTCAGGTCCTCTCTGTCATCTTCATAAGATCCCAAGGATGAACTCCGCCTCCTACCAAGAGCAGAGATGGCAGATTCAATATCTTTTCATGCACAGAAAGCCAGTTACACTTTGGGTAAATAAAGACAAATCCCATCCAAGTTAGAAAGCTATGTTGCTACTCTGTAATGAGAGCAAAACAGGATACTACAGTAGCCTCTTTTGGTGACAGGAACTTGCTAGATAGTTAACTCACAAGCCCAGAAACCATCTGAGTTACCAAGGACTTCTATGAAAACACTACATTCCCTGTTGGTATGAGGAGGATCCCTGTACAACTCACCTCATGAATGAATGGGAATTGGGAGGGGAAGGAGGCACTTCTGTATCATCCAGGTACTGTTGGCTCTGTCCATAGGCATAGAAACGAGGGGACAGCATTGGATCGCTGTCCTCATCCAGAAGCTGGCGAATTAAACGGCCGGCCTGCGGTGAAAGGCGAGCCTCATCTGAATCTAAGTTGTCTCGCTGCCAGGAGGAAAGAGCAGGAATGGGCTCTGGAAACATAAAAACAAGAGCTGTTTTTATCTTTTTTTGTTTCATAGACGCTACATGCTCAAGAGACATATGTAGACATAACCTGTCCTTGATTCTTTGTTGTTAGGCAATCTCTGGGTCATTATTCACATCYGCCCTGGGTGCAAAGCAGTACAAAACGCTGTCACAGCAAGTCCTTTTCACAAGCATAAACAACCACCTGGGTGCAAGAGAAAACTGTGCCCAAAATCTGGCCAGTAACTACCATGGACTGATACCAAGGAATATGATCAGCAGTCAGCACCTTTGGGGCAAAAGTTATACTAGATAAAAATGACATTATTGATATGTGGCTGTAGGATAAATTTGTTCAATTTTCAGGATGAGCAAATGCTGTAAATGAGTAATAAATTAATTGTATTCCTGCAGTCCTCAGACTCCTGCACTCCAGCGTAACTTGGCTGCCAGCTAGTATAAATTCAAAGACTGGCAGTAAGGATGTGTTTTTCTAGCCCTTAGGAAAGGAGGTCTCACATTACTACCTGTTCCACAGAGCACCTAGCCTGTAAAATAACAGCAGTGATGTTTCCATATGACCGATGATGGCAATACGGTCTGAGTTTTCTTCTCTCTCACAAGCAAACCCAGACCGCACTAGAAGCTGTACAGCTGCTCAGTAGCATGATAGAGAAAGAAAGTGTCTATTTCCTGGGTAATCTAACCAGCTGGAAGAAAAAACAATCCTGTATATGGAGATGGTGGAGTGGGAGAGAAATGGAAACCCGATTTAGCACTGCTGATTAGCATTCACAAGCCCACAGAAAGCAATCACCTCAGTCTTGTGATCACTCCTGCTAGATGCCATAAGGGGTCTAATGTTCTGTGTTCAGATAGTTTACTAAGCTGATCGGCATGCTCCTACTTAGCACCATAGGATTAGACAGTTTAAGAGCCAGACTTCCAGCTTATAAGTCTAACAAATAGTTCTAGAGTCAAATAACTAAACAAAAACATTAGAGAAAGCTCACAGATATGTCACAGACCTATAGATTCATTCTTTCCTGAGCTAGTGGTACTAAGCTTAATCCACTGAGAACCTGCTCTTTAGAAGTTATCGGTATTTGAGCAAGGTGCACTATTTCTTTTGGCTGAGCAAGGGTAACATTTCCGTAGCTCACAACAAAGATCACATGAAGCATCACCAGCCAGTTTTCTCCTACCTCTGAAGTGGGCAGTACAGAATGATTCACAATGCAGTAACAAGAGGTTTGGGAGCAATCTGCCTATATCCTCACACTAAACGTTGCTTTCCTCCCCTTTCCTTCTTCCTMATCACACGAAAAGGAATTGCACATCTCTGCTTAGAGACTGATGCTGTGTGCAGACTGGTAAACTGTTCTGAAAGGGATGGTTGGAGGTTTCTGTCTAAGAGCCTCGCTCAAGTCTCATGATAAGGGAAACATGTAAGTTGCACATACAAACCTAGCCAACAAAAGTTACGTGGATGGGAGACGCAAACCCCAGACTTATGGAGGCTATGTTACTGGGGCTGGAAAGCTTACATAGTTTACATTTTGTTGTAAATTTCTGAAATACAATTTTTCTAAGTTGCCTTCACCTTGACATCTCCTAATACTTGAAATACTTTGCTGAAGGAATGTGCTAGAAGCAAGGTAGAATGAAGGGCAAACCCTTGAGCCAAATTGTGACACTTCAGTGCAACGTCCCTCCCTGAATCTTAGATCGACAGAAATTTCAGGAAGCTCTTTACAGGACTTCTTGAAACAAAATAAAAGGCTGATAATGGAGAAGGAGCTAATTTGATCCCTCACTCTTGCTGGTCAAATTAAGTGGTGCATGTGATTCTTTCAGACATCTCATTCCCAGCTTGTGCAAACTCCCACCTCCTTACAGAAATGGATCTTGGAAAATGTTAGATCACACCTCAGGGAATGTAGATGGAATAAAGTTAGAAGAAATCAGTAGCATATTTAGCAAATTAAGCCTCTATCACTCCTGCTAACAAAGCCATTACTCATGTGTCAGCATGCATGGCACATGACTTTGTCCCGAGATGGATTTGCGTACCAGACATCATGCAACATTCAGAGCACTGCAAGGCTCCAAAGGCCTCTGATCAAACCCCAGCTTAATGCAAGTTAGCAGGGACTGAAGCATGTGCAGCTTCGACTTTGTTGTTATCAAAATAATGCCAAGACACAGAAACTCATGCTCCAAAGGAGGGGTCAAAAGGAGAAGGAAATATGTTCTCAAAGSAAAAATCAAATCTGAGACTCAGACAGAAGAAATGGCTCCTGCAGAAATCAGTTGTTTTTAACCCTCATTCTTGGAAGGCTTGATGCTATGGGTAAATCACTTCCCTTGGTSGTTATAAGGATTTAGAAGAAAAATCTCATCTGAACACAAAGTTGTTCTCCTTCCCCAGAGTAACAGAGCAGATAATAAAGGAACATATTCAGATCAGACTCATGCATCGTATCTACATCATGTGATAAACTGGATCAGAGCGATCATCCCCAATTGCCTTGTTTCTCCAACTGGCCATGTGCCAGATGCTTCAGCTGGAAGCACTGGAATTGCTGGATTGCCTGTAAAGTTGCCCACTAAAGGTGCACTTCTCCCTAACCTGTCCTTTTGCAATCAGTCAAATCTTGCCAGAAACATGAGTGTCTCCTAGGCTCATCTCTGCAGCCACCATAACTGATCTATGTTGCTAACACTGCTTTTAAGCACATCAGCCTGGCAAAAAAAAGGAGGCCAAACTCTTAGCTGGTGCAAACTGATGTAGGTCTGGAGGGATTAGCAAGTCTAAACTAATTACAACACCTGAGGTCCTAGCATTAAATCCCACTTGAGAAAGAGAGACCTCTTGTAATRAAAAGAATAAAAGAACTTAAAACCCTGAAACACTCACTAGCTCACTAAAGCCCTATTTCACAAGTCTTACACAGATTTTCTGCAAATATACTTAAACAGTATCATCTTTTCATTTCTCAGGTTCAAGACAGTCCATTACACACCAATACACACACACAAGTGTAAAAAAATTTCTAACAACCAGTTTCCATGTTGCTATACTCTCTGCATGGGAAAGTATTGATTAAGTCAGTCTACTTGTAAATTAGCTTTACCCTCAAAGTCAACCACTGCAATGCCTGTGTTACCAACACTGAAGAGAATGTTTATTCATTTAAAACTTCTTTTTTTTTTTCCATTCTATTTTTTAAAGTTTAAAAGCTTGCAGAAAGAAAGCCTGTTTGCTTTTAAAGTGTTTGTTACTGTAAACTCTGTTTGAAATATCTATAAATTATTTTTAATTAGAACAATGAGACATAGGAGGCAGCAATCGCACRTCCCACATGTATTTACTGAACACATCTATTTACTGAGCTGCCTGTTCAGCTTTCAGTCACTCGCAGGACTAGTCACTTTTATGAAGAGCTACTTCTCACGCTTTTCAGAATTTCCTTGAGGGTAGATAGCAAATTTGGGGCTTGAATTAGTACCATTTCATAAGAAGTCTACACAATAGCACTGGACTGTGAAAGAACACTGTGTYCTCTTCACTCACGGGCATATGATTCAAAATAATCCACAACTAGATTAAAAACCTTTGCTATGGAAGTAGCTCTGGCAACACTGCTTCGCAAGCAGTCACAGCCTGTGCTGACCAAGGGGCTTTGCAGGCAGAGCCAGCGGCCAGGCAGCCCAGTTCTCTTCCCGGTACCAGGGAAAGGGACAAGGCACAGGGTCGAGGTGACTGTTCATGAAATGCCTCCAGCAAGGACTTCATTTCTACATTTACTGAGGAGACAGCTCAGTTCACACCCAGCCTGAGAATAAAAGCTGCTCCACTGGTATCCACTGACTGCATACAAGTCAAACACTTCTTCCAGATCCCAGGGCTGGCTGCTATTGCCTCAGCCTGAGCATGTGGTCAGCAGAGCCTGCTGTTTTGAGGAAGTGGGAAGCAAATCTCTGTGTCCGAGTTCTCCCTGCCTGGCTTTAGGCCAGAGGGACACATCCTGCAGGAAAACAGTCAATCTCTCTGTGTGCAGATTTGACCACACGATAGAATTTTGAAGTATTGAGTAAAAAACATTTCCAGCAGAGAAAGTAACATAAAAGTCTGGGAATCTYGTGGTTGAGAACACTTCTTCCCCATCCTTGCTCATATCAGCCTATCTGGTATTAGTTACCACATTCCCATATTCCGAGGAAGAGAATTTAAGGCAACTCTGATCTAAACATGGAGAGTTTGCTTGGGTGGTGAATCAAAGCTAGTCAATAGTTACTGCCTTTGGAGGCACAGTGTTTTTCTTCCTCATTGGSAAGGTGACTAGAGTGGTAACATGGAGCCCAAAAAGATGTGTGGAGGTTTTAGCAAGACAGGCTAGTAGAAGAAGGAAGAAAGCCCCAGTTGCTGGAGCTGGGATGGGTGATAAATCCCTGCCTTGTCTTGTCTCTGCCTCGAGACAGGCTCTGCCTTCAGCTGGGGAAGAGTGCCGACAGTCAAAGTTAATATCTTTCCTCCTTTGGCTGCTGCCACCTCAATTTTGCATCCACAGCTAGGAAAGATTCAGTCTCTCATTGCCAAGACACAGAAACCACCATTTTGCTGTGCTTCTAACYGTACCAACAAAATGGTGATTCTGGAAGGCAAGTATTTTGGAAGACACCACTTCTCCCGTCCCAGGCAGCTGCTCCTTTTGCAGCTGCCCACCTCTTCTCCTTGTCAGGTATGTTTTAACAGGAAGGAAGAAGGAAGGATCTGAAAAGAACAGTCAYGCCTGCTTATAGGCCTGTTTCACTGTTTCATATCTACAGTGCAAAAACCTAGAATCCAAACACCAGAGTGTGCCTGCGACAAGGGATTTGTATCCAAGGTGCCACTGATTTCATATGATGGGAGAGCTGTTGGCAGACAGACAAGGGGCTGTGATCTCCCTTCCTGTGTTCATATGACTCCCATTAGTAACATTGGCAGTGATCAGCAGGCACCGGGAAGAAAAAACTAATCATGATTTCAAAGGGTTCCCATGACAGCTGAAGCAACACCTCACCTCTGGGGACACAGACATGCTCACCCTGGCCGCAGACCCTTCCGGGTGCTACTAATTAGTTTCCTGGCATGCACAGACACAGGCCAGGGCCTCTCGGGTGCCCTTCCTCTGAGCTTTGATCACCAGGCTTGCAYGCTCGGTGACAGCATCAGCCCAGGGATCCCTGCCCAGCAGGCAAAGGGAGAATCCTCTCCCATCCRTGGTGACTAGCCGCACAACCAAATCAAAACAACTGCAGCTGCTGGTTKTCGTTACTCATGGCTCAAGATGTTTTAACTACTCCCTTCCTAGAGGGAAAGGCAAAATGTACCAGGTCATGCATACTATGGACCAGGTGCAAAGACCTTGATTTCTTAGTGTATCTCACAGATCTATTAATTAGGGTATCCCTGTTTCTGTTTGCTTGCTTGGTTTATTATCTAGAACACTTCCATCTTCCTGGTCTTCTTCCCTGTCGAAGCTTCTCCTTCACTCATGAACCCCAACTTAATAAAAGAATGCAAGCCTGTACCCAGGAGAGCAGCCTATTTGGTAGCTGGAACAGGTTCTGATCCTAGAGATGCCGAGTATCCTCAATACAGCTCAGTATCAGAGGAAACTGAGATTCATGGCACACTCAGATTTCCCTTCAGGCTTCCCATTCATTATATCTGCCAAAAATTAAGAATTTGTTTTACACTGATTTTGCCTCCAAAGGTTTTAAAGAAAAAAAATGACTAATTGTCACAGCGCTCATTGTCACAGAGCTGCCCTGAAAAAGTCAGCGTCTACATCTCCCAAACCTTTACCTGGTTAAATAACTCACTGCAACTAGCTCACCTAACATTGACTCTGGAAAAGAGGCCTAAGAAACCATATTAAATAATCCAAACCACAAGCAATTCACCATGGCATTTTGAGCTGTGAACATTTTTTTTCCACAGCGTACACCAAAGAGTCCACACTAGCCATCAAAAGACAGATTATTTAGATAGCCTCCTTCCAACTATGCTTTTCATATCTGTAGAGCATTTCAAGGGGAGTGGAAGCAAAGGGAGAAAGAAGGAAGCTGCTTTTCGCTTGCAAAATATCTAGTTTCACTGAAGTAGAGGACTGTCTAACTTCTTAATAGCCGAGCAACCAACCACCAAGAAATATGTTATCCTGAAGCACACAGGGATTAGCAGCAAGAGAAGCACCTGATAATAACTTCAAGAATAAAACATCATCTCTTTTCTTTCTCTAAAAGGCAATTGGAATTGATATCAGTCTGGTATTTCACTTCCAGTTTTTCCAAACTTTCAGTTCCATATACAGGCCAAAATAGCTTTCCTGTTTTTTCTTTTCCTTTTCCTTTTCCTTTTTCTTTTGGCAAAAGAACATCAGCCCATAAAGATATATCCAGCCCACTCAGATTTCCTCTCTCTGTTTTCACTCGTACCAACAGCCACCGCGCAATCCTACCTTCCCAGTTGTTGTCATCGCACAGYGCTGTCAAATCCAGCTGAGGCACTTCGGACACAAAGCTGCTCTGCTGTTCATCTGCATCTTGATTTCTTTGTAACTTGGTTTCAGGAATACTTGGATGCTCTTGAATCTTCATACCTGAAGACTGCTGTATTCCCAGACACCCACGCAGATAAGAGAGAAAGAGAAAAATGTTTCAGGAGGAAGAAGGGGGAAAAAAACCCTGCAGTCACAGCAGCTGTAAGCTCAAGTCTTTGGCTAAAACAAAAATCCAAATAAACAGATCCTGATATTTCCAGCTTCAAATCCAAATTCCCTGTTCAGTGACCCCTACATGTTAATTGGTCACTCACACTGGTAAAAACATCCGTCCATCCGCTTTCCTTGAACTTTTCCTTGTTTAGAAAGCCACAGCAAGTTCCCGAGACTGCGTGCCCTGACAACAGCATGCAGCCAAAAAAGCCTCCCGTTATCAATCGGGATGAAAAGGCAGGGAGGGAGGAAGGCAGGGGGAAAGGGAGGAAAAAGGAGRGTGCATACGTTTCCCAAAGGAGTGCAACTCCCTGGAAGAACGACAAAAACGCTGCTGCTGTTAGGAGGCTCTAGCAATATGGTGTCTTCTCGAGAGCAGGCGCCGGAGTTCCTGCGGTAGCTGCCGCAGAGASCGAGCCGTGCAGGCTACGGACACGAGCGCTCCCATGCAGGCAGTGCTGGCTCAGATCAATTAGTGCCAGCTAAGCTGTGCTGGCTGCACATTCCCCGATTTCCTGTGGTTGTTTTCTAGCTGGGCGTGGGGAGAGCAGAACTATTTATGGAGGAGCTCTGGGTATTAAAGCGGTGTTGCGCAAATCCAAACGGCAGTGGGGTTTGGCATCTCAGCTGGAAGCAGTGTGGCCTCTGGGAGAAAGCCAGAAGAATGCACACAAACAGCCAATGACTTGGGGGCGGGGGGGAGCCCAGCAGAACGCTGTCAAGTAAATGCTCCATAATTTAGCACTACCTAGAAGGCACCGCTGTCCGCCCCGCCGCTGCGCAGCCCTGCACGTCCCGCATGCTGTGCGCATTTACGCTGAGATCGCTGGCGTGCTCGCACGCCGCMCACACAGTGGGCTGGTGCGTGAGGGTCTCTGAGAGGCTGCCCTCACCCCACAAAGGCTTTTGCCACTGTCCAGTGAACTGCAGAGGTTCACAGAGGGCGGTAGAGAAAAGGAAATGTAAAGCATGTATATAGAGTGTGACATATATAAACCCAATAAAGGCAGAGGCATTTTACTGGGTTTAAATGGGCTAAATTGATGGTAATATATATAGCATTTGATTTCTCTAAGAGGAGTCAAAGCAAAGCTCCCTGAAATACAGGCTAGCAGGTAAACAACAAGCAGATTCTTCCCTCCATAGGTATTTTGATAATCTAGGCTGTAGCAGTATCTGCATATACAGCTGTGTGAAGGAAGTGACTCCAAAGAAAATAATCAGTATATTTGGACATATTTTTTGGTGAATCCAGGAGACTGGCAGAACTATACTAAATCAATATCCTTGGTACATACCACAAAGGCATTTTTTTTCCCCTTAAACTCCCTTAGAAAARCTAACAATACAGATTTTTCTCTGAGTTGCAAAAAAGCACGGGAGCTTCATGTAGAGGGGAAAAAAACTACTCAGAACATACAGCATAAAAATTAATGGGATTAGCTGTATCCCACTCCATCAAAAGAAACGGATGACGAACATCTTGGTATTAATAAAGAGAGTTCTACTCTGTATTTTATAGAAGGTTGGTATTTCCTTTTCATTTCAATAGATCAACTTTTAAAGACTTTAAATAAAGGCAACATTACATGACAGTTTGCCAAGAAATAATAACTCTACAACTTGCCACTGAATCTGACTACAAACCTAAATGTGCCGCCATGAAAGCTGCTGGAGTGAAAGCTATGATTAGCACTCAATATCTTTTAAGATGTTTCTAGGTTGGGAGTACTTAAATATTCTTTAAGGTTTAATAGAAAATTTTCTAAATGTTCTACTAAATATGATCTAAATACCAAGCGTACACTATAAACAAAAAGACTGGTCGGCAGACAGAAACAAGCACTCTTATATACTTGTAAAAAATAAACTGTACCAATTTATAAACTACATTTAAATTGCAGAACAGAGCATTAAGACTGAAAAAAAATCTGGCAATGAGCTTCAAAACTATGTTGTTAAAAACATCACAAAAGCAGTGTGAAAGAGGAACTTATCTACATTTTAACAATTAAAAGGAAGCAACCTGCAAATACCAGAAATTGTCACCACCACTGATCTTACTACAGTGATTTCTTTTCCTACAAGGACTGCAGAGTCTCCTGACTTACTGAGATTCTTAAAWCCTTTTTGCAACAGATAGGAATCCATGTTTCAGTTGGGCAAACATTTCCACTACAGATCTATTATACAGATCATATCAATATCTTTTTTACTTCTGAAGTTACTTTTGTGGTTGGAAATATTTAAAATCTGTTCGAAAACAGGCCTGTGCTGCGCCTGAGGCCAGTGACTCTCCATTTGCTCGCTTGCTTACCGATGTAGTCTCTAACACAATGAATAAATCATTAGGCATCTGAAGAATAATGGTGGTACAAACCCAGGAGACATAGGAAGGCAGATGTTTAACCTCATTTGCATTAGTGCTCCAAACCTGTATTTTCACAGATAGTTCAGTATCCTCATGACTTATTTTCCATTTGATTTCCTGATGCCACCAGTTGCCAACCTCCAGATCAAAATCAAGAGAGAACTGCCGTGCTTTAGGTACAGATGTGTTATTGTTTCTTATAAGCCAAAGGGGCAGCAAGTTGATGATCTCATTACTTGGCAGCCATAGTGTATTGCTGATAGTACATAAAAGACCACAAAAAAAAATCTTGAAATTAGGCTCTTGAGTTATGCTTTTTAGAGACTGCTTTTGCAGCCATGGTTTGTGGATATCAATAACTATAGATCGAAATAACTTGAGGGTAAGTCAGCTGTCCTCATTATCACTGCTCCAAGGGAGATTCAGCAATTGGAAGAGCTCAAGCAGAAATAAATGGAACACAAAGTCCTTGGAATTCAGATCAGAAAACTGTATTCTGTTCAATTAAGTGTGGAACCTTCCTTCCCTTACATCTGGTAATCCCCTATAACCACAAGCAGGAGGCGTCCTTAAGCACCTCTTGATAAGGCAATCAGACGCAAGGACACAGTCATCCTGCTGCTTTCCTCCTGAGTCAGGCCAGCCCTCTTCTGTATCTGCTGCAACGCTGAGGTGAATCTGATGCATCAACAAAGAAAAAGAACAACCTCCGAGTAACCTTCTGAAATGAAATTTAACTCTTTAACCCAATTTAACACTTAACAGCTTAAATTTTTGTCTGCAGATGACTTCGGTATCAAATATGCTTTATGTAGTCAAAGTTATCAGATGGATTTTTGTTGTTGTTGTGGTTGTTTTTCTTTGCCACCAGACAAGGAGGGACAAGCAGTTGTTCTGGTTTCTGGATGGAATACTTTGGCCAAATGCTAATGTAGTAACAATTAATAATTTGACCAAGATTTCCTCATTATTATATTTGAAGTAAACACGCCACTGTGGTGAATGGAGGTGTTGATGCCTCCTGGAGTGACTGTCTCATCACTTTGCAGACTTAAACTCTATCAGCTACACTTGGCTTCTTGTTTGAAATAGTTTTCTTAAAAATAAGAAATCCTGGGTACTAAAAATCTCTTTGTCAAATCGCAGTCTATATCTTACATCTTAGTTATTTCCAAGGGCAGGTTATAAAGACTACAGAAGTACTGAAAACTCATTCAGCACGTATGTTTTGAGGTATTTTTATTGCCTCATGCAGAGCTGAGTCTACAAGACCAATAGCCAGGGCACAAATTCCAAACACCTTCCCTAATATTTTCAGACTGGAGAAGGGGTGAGAAGGAGAAAGGAGTAAGAAAGGCCCTTGCCCATTCTCAATGAGTTGTTTGTTACAAAAGGTATGCTCCTAAGCTGCCCTAAGCAAAGGCTTATACAGGACAAGGAATGTAGAATTACCCCGCAGGAATGTAACATTTTCTTGACCTTCTAATTCCTATATAATACCATCTCAGGGTTAAGGCTACGCCTTTTTCTGAAGTAAAAATTCCTATTGAATTTTAAACTCCTCCTAAGGGGAAGTTTATTTTAAGATTACAATTTAATATTCAAGCATACTTCTCCCCCCCAGCTAAATTAAAAGCTAAATGGGAGTTTTCTGTGGTGTGGGAGTGACAGCATCTTCTCCACATTTAAGCAGGTACATGAACAACAAGGTGCTACAGAAGCTGTCTTTAGAAAATGCCACAGCCCGCACGCCCAGTCTGCCTGGTATTAGTGCTGTCAAGTGCAGGACTGTCAGGGATTACCAACCCTCTGGGAGTAAAGTAGGAGATCTGGCTAAACTCGGAGCAGTGATCAAAGCCACTGCTGAGCATCTCCTGCAAGGGCATCCTGCTACGACACATCTGGGCAGTGTTGGGCTGATCCCAACAATTACTAAACAATTTCTTCTACCTCCAAAAACGGTGCAGCAATTGGAGGAGAGGTGGTACGGGTAACCCTTCCTAATATTTTAAAAGAGGTGTTGTCTAGAACTATTTGCAGCAGAACCAAATGAACTGGTGACTGCAAAGGTGGTCACCTAACCCAACCTTCCCTTTGCTGATCGGTCAGGTAAAAAAACCCATAAAGACAGTGCAGGAGGCAAGTGCAGGATAGAACTGGAAAGAACAGGGAAGAAGTAGTCACCGTTAATACCACATCTTCCTTCTGACCCCTCCTGACAACTGCTCCAACCACCAACACTCAGGGAGAAGCAGGAAACGATGCAGCTTTGTAAGACAAATGATCATGGACAAGAATGTTCAACGATGACAGGGCACACGAGGAAATCACACATAAAAGACCAACATTATTTTAGAAAAATCAAGAGAGATAAATTTATCTCACTACACCATGAGATAATTGGTTGCACACCCTGTTAGCAATAATTATGAGGGAACGCAGTGCCACTTAAGTTAAAGTGCTGACTTCAGTGACTCTTTCCTTTTTGGCAAGGAGGGATAGAAGGGACCGAAGCAGATGGTTTCAGACTTCTCCATGTTTGAGAGACTCTTTGAATTATAAAATCAAAAGAGAGGGAAGGGAGAGAAAGAAAAAGTGCATACAAATTTCATTTCTCTAGGAGTGACGAAATTTCATTTTATGAACAGAATCACATGCCTATCTACCTGTATCTAGCAAATAAACAGTCAATTTAGAGTCCATACCTGAAACTCAGAAAAAAAAAAAAAAAAAAAAAGGAATACCAACCTGTGAGTGCCTGAAAAAAACCTCATCGTTTTCACTTTCTTTGCTACAAAAAAAGAAACATATTACAAAGATAAAGACAGATTGTCTTGTAACAAAAACAAACAGGACTCTGCACCCACAGGTTTTTATGCTGTGGTTGCTACTGCACATTTGCTAGCATGCTAAGCAAATGAGGGGACATTTTGGGATCACACAACTGCTATACTATTTTGTCCCTCTCAGGACCTATTTGTGGAAAATATAAGGGAATTTAATTCCAATGCCCTTATTCCACACACACCAATTCAACTCTCTCAACAAGCATTGTAACTGTGGAGAGAAATCCTCATCTCCAGCAAGCAGGGAGGAACTGCAGAGCTCTTGCAAAGGAGAGAAAGTGCAGAGAGTTTCGCATTGGTCTCCTGACCCAATGACCGTGGGAGTTGAGCGGCGCCTGCAGTGCTGTGTGCACTGTATCTCTGCAGAGGTGCTTAGACACAACTTCTTTGCAAGTCTGCACCATCACCATCTTCAGTGATGTTCCTAATAGGTCAGGAGAAGAGATTTGGCGGGGTATGGTGTTGGGCAGAGCCCAGACAACACATCCAGTGCCTCTGTACTGCTCTACTTAGAAGTTAACATAATGCGTAAAGCTGTTCTATAGCGCAGCTGTTACCCTCATGGTCTGTGGTGGAAGATCTCTTAGGCTGCACCATAACCACAGGCAAAATACAGAACATACATATTAAAAAAAAAATCACCTTTCTTCAGATAAAATTTCCATGTCATCAGGTCCTGTTCTGTCTACAGGTCTGGATGAGCTAAAGCTTTCCATACTCTGTAATACAGTAAATGTTAAAACAGTAAGGACATAAAAGCAACTGGTTCAAGCTGCAGGCCATTACACAGATCAAATACAAAAGTACTCAGCCGGACTCCTAGAAACAGCACAGTGAGACTACTGCCTTTTACACATTTATAGTAAAATCAAATTTGCCCAAACTTGCCCATAACCTTCAATAAATATAAATGCACACCGTCTTTGTCTCTTTCATCAGATGACCTTGAAATGCCTGACAGAATATCTCAGCATGGCATCTCTACAGTGCCCATTTTACAGACTGATGCTCTGAGCGAGGCATCTATTCTGTGATGTGTGCAATCCTGTAAGAGCAGGCACTTAATCCAGAACATCCCCTCAGCAGCATGCTTTATGATGATCGTAGAAATACTTCCTTCCTCAGCCAAACTGTTCCCTAGTCTCTTCTAAAGAGAGGGTAGAAGACATTAGGTAATGTAAAGCACACTAATGGGAATGCGTGACAAGAAATTCTACTGATGATGGCAACTTGTTCAACTTTTCCTGGCTACCAACTAATGCTGAGTTCTCTAAGAGCCTGAGAAAGTATTGTGAAAACAAATGAAGTTGTTTTCTAAGTTGATAAAGAATGGAAACAAAGAAACAAGCACTCTGGCATATGAACTAATTTATGTGCTGCACATCACACAGGGAGGAGCGCTCGGTGTAGCTTTCTGCAGGTGAAACTCATGGGAAAATCCAAGCATTAATTTGAATTAGTCAGAAGGCTTTTTTTTTTWAAAAAAGGGTATGCCACTCAAAGTCATACACTCTAACACTTCTCGTTCACTTTCTTTCTGCTAACAGTGACTCAATCATCTACTCAATCTCAGTCTACCGACAAGAAAAAGCAGGCAGAAGTGACCAATGCCTTCACCTGCTTGGGTAGATGCTGAGTTCCTTCATATCAGCAGCACATTTCAGAACTGCCTTGACACTATTACTGTAGACCACATCATTGTAGGAGTTCTTAAAGAATCAAACACAGCACATGCTATCCCAAGTGTAAAAGTTAGGAAATTGAACGTTGCTGTTTTGGGCACACTACTAGGAGTCTTTCTTCTCTGAGATTTGGGTAAGTCTCTTCTAAACAGGAGGAAGGAAGTGATCAAAGCAAAGGGGAGCTCCTGGCTTGGGCCACGGGAGCTGAGCACAGGCTTCCCAGGCAGTCACAGGCTTCTCACCTGCCAGGTAAGGCTGTGTGGTTCTGTCTCTCCAGCCAGGACATGCCTTGGCCTTGCCTAATGTGATTCTTCAAGTCCTACTTGTCCCTGGCTACCTTGCCTCTGAATGTAGTTACACACTCTTAATGCTTAGTGGTTGGTTCTGCTCAGGAGACTAAGCGGAACTGACAATTTCTCCACTGCTGACTTATGCTTTGAGTCAGATACAATTAGACATCTAAGAGGAGCGTTTCCACACACTGCCCTACATGCTCTTTCAAGCTTTGTTGATAAAGCAGGAAGACTCAACGAAGATGGGAAAGAAGATGTAACGTTAGGACTCCTGGCACAAAACTTGTTTACATGAGAAAGCACTACTAGAAAAAGCTGAGACTTAAGTCCTTTGATACCTTACGTTAGTAATTTGGGTTTTCCTCTGAAGCGTATCTTCTACTGCTTGAGTAAAGATTTGGTCAAGATCATTACACACACTGCATTCCGACGAAAGCTTCTGATCTACAAGCATGAAATATGTGCCACTCATAGAAACTTAAAAGAAAAACAAAAACCTCTGCCCCTTGTGAAGAGTAACATCATTCTCTCTGCAAGTTGTTTTATATGCATTCTCCCATTGGAAAACCACACTGGGACATTTCTTCTGGCAAAGCAAGCAAGGATCAAGGACCACACTAAATAACATAGCCAACTTGGTCCGAGGGCACTTTGTGCAGTCTGTTCAGAGGTTGTTTTTTTCAGCCTTTGGCAATCCAAGGGGGAGAGATAAGCGTGAGAACATTTGATACACTGAAGTATCACATGAATAGGTTATTGATATTGAGCACTAAATCTAAGAAGCAAAGCCTAGAGTACTTGGCATCTTGCCTTTCTTCGATCACACAGAGAAGCCAAATCTGCCTTTCTTCGAAGGCAGACATTTCTAGAACCTTCGCACAGGGTAGAACATCACATCATGGCAGCTTTGTAATCTAAACAAAAGGAGTTACAACATAATGTCACATTAAGAGGGAACTCACCTAGAGCAGACTCTGAAACTCAACCAAATGTAACTGAAGGAAATGCTCTGCAGCTGGGAGAGCTAATCTTTACACATGGCATTACAGGGTTACTAGTAACAGTGACAGCACAGCTGGTGCCAAGTACAGAAGATGCACAGGGCATCTGCCACTGCAAACAGATCCTACATTGAAGCTGAGTGTAGTTCCTCAACAGCCAACACTGAGATCAGTGTCTAGCTTGGTTGAGCAGGACGGAAGATGTATTGCTGCTTGTTAAAGCTGGCAAACCGCCTTCCACTGTGAGGGTCACACAAGAATTTGCTGGGCAAATTCCAAAGCATTCCTGATTTTAGCACAGCTGTGTCACTTACCTCTCCAGTAAGATAACTAGAGGGATCATCTTTTAGACTAACAGATAGAAAAGTGTTTTGAATATTGCATGTGCTTTGCACTACTGTAGCACATAGAGTCTCTGCGGAAAGGATATAAAACACCTTTGTCATCTCATTATCAATAAGCCACTTGTGATTTGTGCTTTCAAAGCTTAGCATAAGTTTAAAAATAAAAGTCCAGCTAAGCACTTTATCTGAGCTTCCTACCTCCTTGCAAGAATTCTGAAAGACTGACATAAAGAATTTCTCTCCTTCCAAAATACTCTTTTGAAGACAAAAGAAATAAGAAAAAAGTAGAAACAGAATGGCTAGGAATGGTGCAGCAGATCTAAACTCTCAGCTGTTTCAGTACAAAGGTTACAAGAATGCAGTCTAGTTTTCACCATAATCCAAAACTGCTACCTAGACGTATAAATGGCTTAGCAAGAGCACCAGATGTTCACTGGAGCAGAGCAAGTTTTTCTACCCTGGAACTAGGCATCAAATAGTATAGCACACCAGCTTACCACAGGAGCGTCCTGGTTGTCATTAAGCTCTGAGAGCTTGGTGCTGGACTTCTGCCGTTTCGGTTTATTCCTCTCACCAAGATATGAAGAGCTGCTGTCTGGTAATTTTTCTACCTCTTGAGCAGACAGAATGCAGTCTTCAAGACTGCTGAATCCAGAGGGAATGTTTTCTTTGTTGATGACTTCCCTAAAAAGAAAAGGGACATTGCAACAAGACGTTGTTTAAAACACTCTCCCGCTACTTTTAAGGTAGTAATAGAGAAATGCATTATGCTGACGGATGCAGTTCTGGCAACATCTTCTACGCCCTATGAAACCAGTATCTCTGGTTCTTCCTACTGCAGCAAACAACACGCGCTGTGAAATGCTATGTCCCATTGAGGAGTGGAAGGCAGGTATATGCACCTTAGGTGAAACAGCTGCCAGGAACAACATGTGCCACTTGATTTGCTTCCCACTAAAGCCAACAGGGAGAATCCTTTGGAGTTCAAATGGAATCTGGAGTATCTCCTGGCTGTCTGTGGTATTTTTATAGAGAATATGCAGCATTTTTTCCTTCGAGACACGTGTTTGTGTTTTAGAAAAGTGATTTACAACTGTGGTCCAAGGATTTCCTTTGGTGCATGACACTATACCAACAGCTGTCTTACTCATACTCTCAAGCACAAGAGCTTGTGAGGAACTGTGGTGCTTCAGCCAAACGCTTCATTCTTACTTGGGGATAACACAAAATAGAGAAGAGAGTAAGAATGAATGCATGTCCTAAACAGCGACAGGACTGCAAGGACAGAGCACTGTTCTGCAGCGCTGGGAGCGAACAGGACAGCTGACCTCAAGTCRCCACACGATATCCAGTGGGACTCTTTTCAACCTAGCTGGGCTTGGGTGCATTTTCCAGGAGTTGGCCTTATACTTCTCCTTCCCTGCACAATTCCCCTCCTGGATCTTTCCACATGCTGTCTTCCTTTTACAACCTGCTAAGTAGGCATCTCTCTGAAACTTTGTGCAATAATGAGGACACACATACAGTCGCATCACTATGTTATGAAACACAAAGCATCTCATTCTCTACCAGTCCTATCCTGCCAGAGGCTAAAGTCAGGCTATTCACACTTCACATTGAAACTGAAATGTTTGCTAACTGTTTTATCCATTAATGGCCATGTAGCTAATTTATACAATGCTGTGCAACTCCAAAGCCTGCTTTCATGAACAACAGCAGAGTTTCTCTAGACTTGCACTAGTGTGATAAAAGAACAGTTGCTCTATAGTATCTGGAAAGTGCCAGCATGACAAAGTATTTGGATTAAAAACAAAAAAATAGTTCCAGTAACTTCCTAGGTCACGAGTCTCTCAATTCTGTGGTTGAGAGAGAGATACAAAGAGCTATTATACATCTGCGATCAAACTTACAGGATAATACTTTTGCCTTTATGCAAGTTTTTACAATCCCCTGAAGTGACCAATTACATATATACAGACACATCATGTAGTCTGCAAAGCATGGAAGCCCATGTAGGTATTTTTTCCATGAACACTCTAGTTGTAGTAAAAATGCAGTCCCATCTTGTGACATTACAAATCCTCTTGTGATCCATCATAAGACAGGGAGATGAAGTCACTGAGGATCAAAACAAGAACAACAAAAAAAAATGAAAGGAATTCTGAATTTTGACAATTCCCTCCCACAGATTCTAGTAATATGGTCTAAAGCAGGAAAACAACTTGGTGCCTAGCCAGCACTCAGTACTTGCTATCTGGACTGAATCTTTGGCTCAGGCTTTGGGGACTGAACCTGAACAACCAGCATCAAGATAGGTGAGAATGCTCTAAAGGCAGCTCTGCAATGCAATGTGGAAAAAAACCCCTGCAGTTCTATATGCTCCCAAACACGTACGCTAGCCAGTCTCTGACCTACTTACCTGAGAAGCCTGTCAGCAGGGCTACTGAACAAGAAAAACTACTTTGGACCTGCTGCCACATATTTGGTGACTTGCAAGGTCCTACCTCGCAGTTCATCTCTGCAATGTATTTTCATGCTCTGTAGAAATACCTTCTTATTTCATTATTATGACTTTTTACTCTACTAGCATTGACATAGTTTGGGAAGTAGTATGACATACAATATTTGCATGAAGCACTGGAGGTTATGTATGAAAGCAGATTGGTATAGGAAGGTGCAGTGTTAATAAGATTGGATAATTCAAAATTCAGGGAAAAAAAAAAGAGCCTAGACATTTATTTCTGGAATGTAACTTGAAATCCTAGCAAGCCAATACTACACACATTCCTTGCAGGGACTAGCCCTGTGCTTCAAAAGCTAGACATACTGATTAGATCAGAACTTCACAAAATCATACTGCTCAGTTTCAGTTCCTCAAAGACAGCTATGCCTTGGACGTGTGCTTGTTAAGACTGTGGTGGCAATCTATTGGCACCACTCAGTGCATACCACAACTACAACAGTAAGAAAGGAGAAACAGGTATTATTTTTATGCTTTGATGGACGTCTAATGAAAATTGCTACTAAATCATATGTAACCTGTGTGCTACATGGCAGATAAAAATACTTAAAATGCTCATTAGTCAAAGGAAGACTTCTATGGTCAGATGAACTCCCAGAACTCCTCAGTAAACCTGAACGTAAATTAGGCGTCCATACACAAAAGGAGAGTTCAGTCTCTGTTTTGCAGATATTTTTATATTCAGAAAAGCACCTAAAAGCAGTGTTTTTATCTAGGATATTGCAGACACTGGCACCAACTGTTTTTTTCTTTTTTTTTTTTTCTAAAAAACAAGAACTGCAACTAAAGAATTGTAAATACTGCAATTAAAGACCTCCACTGTAATTTTTTGAAGAACTGGATTCTTATAATGTTTTAGCCCACTGCATTACCTCTAATAAGCTCTACATTTCACAGCTCTAACTGACGTGATGGAGCTCTGTACAGGCAGAGCAGCACTTTCACCTGAGGGCACGGGCTAGCACGTTTCATAACCAAGCTACCAAGCATTGCCTAGACAGTGGTCATGACTAAGATACACTTAATCAAAGATACTTTCAAAACAAAAGAAATCAGGATCGTACATGTCTCTGTTTCTCCGGACTTCCTCCTGCTCTTTGTGTTGTCGCCTCCTCTGCCTGGCAGACACATTAGAAGAGGCTGAAGATGTTCCCGATTCAGAGTCCTCTGAACTCTGGCCGCCTGAGCCATGAACATCAAAGAGATGCTGTTCCACGGCTGAGCGGATTGTCTTCTCTAAATACCTGTCAAGTCGAAAAATAAGGTCAATAGAGCTCAAAAACTTGCTGGAGCTCCCTCTCTGCAACATTAAATAACGTATGCGTTCTAAAAGGTGTTGTTTTATCATGGTGGCAAGGCAGCATAAGGTGTACTTGGGACCACAGACATCTGCAAAGAGCTAAGCCAGTATCTCCAGACACTTTGATGTTCAGGTCCCTCAAAACAGTTGAGCCTTCCCAGTTCACCCTGCACTTGCTCATTTCTGGAGCTGCTTGGATTTTCTGTAAACTAACTCCTTTTAATTACATTTGCAACTACAAATGGAAGCGCCTAATTTTCAACAACCCTAACAAAACCCTATTTGAAATACAGTTCTAAAGACTGCACCATAAACAAACTCAGTCACGTGCCTCCAGTTTTAGTTAGAAGTCACTGGGCTGGGGGTAAAGGAGGGTGTAAGGAAAATTCCATCAGTAAATGACTCTTTCAAAAGAAAGACTAAAATTCAAAGGGCAATGACGTGTGGACAACCCAACGATGCTCACACTAGTCAGGTCCCTTGTGCAATCCAGACTTAGGAAAGCAAGAAGGTGATTCACTGCTGCCTCACAGGGGGATGAGAACACGCAACAGTACCTCATTGTAAACTCTTCATAGGCTTAACTCAGTGACCAGACACAAAACTGGTTCTGACCTCATGCTGTTTTCCTGTTCAATCGATGCACATGTGGCCACTCCTCACTGACACTGCTATGAGATCATTACAGTGCCCGCTGGCAGCCAGAGGGCTTCCACACCAGCCCCAGCAAGGGATTCTCTGAGGTGACATTGGTTAAAGATGTGAGATCACCTCAACTTTCAACCCAAATCTCCTACATTTTCCTAACGACATTTTTGTGCACAGTTTTCTTTCTTCTTTCCTTGAGTCAAGGAAGACTTTATGGGCAAAATCTAAAATAGACTTTTCTTTTACCAAAACATTGTTTGGAAACATATTTTTACATGTGCCTGCCCTACCTCTATTCCTTGCACACCTTTAGAAGTCTCCTGTAGCACTCCAGAATTTTCAGAAACATGCCTGACTGACACAGTCCATTGCTTTTCTCTTAGTAAAACTCAGCACTTCCCCAAAAGTTATTTGTAGGATTTGTTGGTTCATTTTCAACTAACTAGCTATGATATGTGAGCCTGTCCCAGGGCTGATGCCTCCAGAAAATTTACAACACTTGTTCTTAAGTGTGGACTACAGTGCTAGTCTGGCAAGCTGACAGTTCCTGAAAAAGTCTAAGATCTTAACAACTACGTAAAAATACATGGTTTAACTTGGCAAATGTGTCCGTGTTTCCCATATTGACAAGAATCAGTCTGGCAAATCCATCAACATTTGAAAGTTCTAATTCTGGCAGGAGGATCAACTTGTTAGCTCTGCTGCTCATGTTGGCACAGCAGTTATCACAACGGGGTCAGGTCTTGTCCATTCCTGGGACAGGAGCAGGAACAAACAGGAATGAGAGGATTGTGCAGCAAGAACACATTTCTCTAAATATCCAGGTTCTCTCTTACTGAAATATCACAGACAGAGTGTGGGAAAGAACCAAGGAACCTTCAGACCTGAGAATTTTTCAGGAAGAAGTGATTTATTATCATTGCAGATGCTTTGATTTGGGAAACAATGTCTTTTTTGTTTGCATAGGAACAGCCCTTTAAGAGAAATCAAAGAATAACCAATAATACTCTACAAAGCTCCAATTTAAAAAAAAAAAATAAAAAAAAGGTAGCTACAAAATTGTAAAAGAGACACTTACTCTCCAGTAGCAGGAATGTTAGTGTTGACTTGTGACACATGGGCACTGTGGAAAAGAAAAACAGGAGAAAGTTAGATCTAATTATCACAATAATGTCTTTAAACATTTGTTCTCTGCTGCACTAAAAAAAGGATTGAAAGGTTCGAGTAGTCTCAACAGCAACTGCACATGACTGCCACAAGCTTTTCCCCTTAAGGAATTTTCACTCCCACAGTGACGTGGCACATTTCAACAACACCAATATCCTCAAGAATTAATTTGTCTGTCATTCCCTTGCAGCAGGCCAAGACCTAACGGAAAGTATTTCAACTTTAGCACACCACAGATTTTTTTGCTTCCGAGTTTTCTGCAGCTGCAGGTTGCTTTGGCCTCCTCACAAAAGTTCTTGTCTCCCGAGCCTGCTTTGAAAATGTACCCATTGTGGAAAGGGGACTTAATATTTAAGAATCTTTAAATATTCATTGGGAAAAAAAAAAAAAGTAAAACACAAGACTTTTCTCTGTTCTCCTCCTGTAGCTTTCTGCTATTCATGTTCTTTGCTTCATAGCTTAAAAAAAAAAGATATATGCTCTTCTTTCCCTCTCCCTTTGGGCGCAGGAAGAGCTAACATAATTCTAGGTGTAGCTGCTTGCCATTTGGAGCTCTTTTCACTAAGCCTGCATGCCATCACACACACAGCTGTCACTGCGTTTCTCCATCTGCACAGGGCCAGATGCCATTTGGCCAGGCCAAATCCCACTCTGCTCCCTCTTCCCCCACACTGACTCAGCTTTGCAGATAAGGGAACACGTGCTGCTTCCTGCATACTCATCAGCCCTATGATCTTCATAAAGTGCAATAAGTTACAGGCTACAGTTTCATTTGGATTTATCCCCATGCAAGGAGAAGAATTAGTCATGTGGCTGGCTGATATACTCCACTGAAATGATGCTATGTAGATAGGTTATGAGACAGGCAGAATGTAAAATATGTTTCCTCTGCTTTCTGCCAAAACAGCCATTAATTTTTTCAGTCTCTAAGAGTCTCTCAAAATCTTTTTCAATGTCAGATCCAACAACAGCAACCCTTAACTAAACTAAAGTCCCTTCTCTGCTTCTGTTGAATATTTCACTTGCCAAATACTTAACTACATAGGTGTAATGCTAGGTAGGAGCTGCAACCGTTTGATAGTAACTACTCCATGGCCCCATTATTTTTAAGTGTCCCTTGTGGCAGAAAGTAGCCAAGTGAAGGCTGAGAAGTGCAAATGTAGTTTGACCAAAAAAAAAAAAAAAAAAAGAGAGAGAGAGAGAGAGAGAGAGAGAGAGAGAAACACAAAATAGCCTTACTCTCTTTCTTTTCAGGTCTGCCTATAGTAAAATACAAACCCACAGATGCCTGATCAGAGTCTCTCAGATGCTGCTGGTTACTTCCATGAGCCAGCACATCCACCTTAGTTTTGATAAACCAGTGCAGCCCAACCACACGCTCACCCCTCACAGCCCTCCCTTCACTGCACGCTGATCTCGAGCGCAGACAGTTCCCTGGAGCTGTGCACAGCATCACAGCATGAAAGCAGTCACGTAGTTGCCAGTGTATTCTGCATTAGCTACGCAACAGCCAAGGAGCTGTGTCATTCAGATGAATTCACAAGGAGAAGTCAAACAAACAAGTATCAAATTACTGAGCTTACTACTGTGGGCATGCAACCTACATATAAATATAAAAATTGCAGGATCCCTCTCTTCATATGCAACATCACAGTTATTAAATATGACATGGTTTTGCTTTTCCAAGTACACATTTCAAGCATCCTACTTTCATGCCAGTTCAGCTGTATAAACTACATGTCCTCTTTCAATCCCCAGATTATTTTTRAAGTTTGTCTCCCATTGGAGATGGATTAGTAAATAAGAGTGGAGCATACTAAACCACATGACAATTTACAATTCATCCTGTCCCTACCACTCCTATACATGTGGCTGTGACTTAATATTGTATCAACCTTGTATATTTACATGCAAATCATACTGAATGGGGCTCTCTTTCATATAAATATTTTTTTCTCAATTCATTTGCATGTGAGGAAAGTGACTGTGGAGGGGCAGATTACATTGTTTAGACTTTATTTCAAGCATTCCTAGGATATAGGCATATGTAGGAGCAGATCAGAGAGACAATGTCAAGAAAAAGCTCTTCCCTCTATTTCCAACAAAATGCTGTGCAAAAACGCAAACTCCTGTTTCCTATTAAACCAACAAACAAATGAACAAACAAAAATAAAGAAAGGCTAGAAACTGCTTGTGACTGAGAGTTTGTGCTGCTAACCCCMTCTCGAGTGTTCAAGGGCAACAGTCGCTATCTACAAACTGCTCACTGAAAACACAACCATTTCTTTTACGCAAAAATCCATATAAAGAGAAAATAAAAGATAAAGCTGCAAAAATAACCAAATAAAATGACAAATATTTTCACAATGGCCAAATACCTTCTGTAACTGTCTAGTTCTCAGTTAACTATGTGTTTCCTAGCACGAGTTCTACTTTGACCCACTTACATTGCGAACGCATAACGTCACTTATCTTTTTAACAATTACTTTGTGGGATCTGTAAAAGCCCTATTCAAACAATTTTGTGAGAGAGCTAACAACATGATGATTTCGAAATTACCAATAAATAGGAAGAATGTGTGCACACAGCTACATGCCAGCTGAATGGGTGACAATAAAAGCTTTAACACTGCATTTTTTTCTTTTCTAGATACTGCTTCCTTATATGCTGAAAATGACCAGATAACATAAGTAGGATTTACTTGATTCTTATGCCTGTGAAATTTTAATGTTCTTTATCAGTCCTCTCTCTCAGAGGTTTTCCAGATATGTTAAATGTCTTTTAATTCCCTAATATTGGCTTTTCACACTATTTAATTCTGAAGATTCAAACATCCTCTGCAGCAACCCTTTGCACATTCAGGAACTTAAAAAGAAAATTCTTCTGGGTGTTTGACCCTTTGATATATACTGTCAATTACTTCCACAGCTAGTTTATTTTTGTTAAATTATGCATCTGCTGCAGAACGCACTGAGAAATACGTTTTCATATAAATCATATAAAGAAAACTTGCCTACATAAATTAAAGGGTTGCTTTCTTCTGCTTATAGAAGGCAGGAGCAGGGAAGTTTTTCAGTGCTGGGGACATGTCACAAAATCTGGATCAATGCGTTGGTTTTCTTCTGTAGGCCTGCCATTCTTGCTTGCATGGAGATCACCTTTTATGAGAGGTGCACACTGACATCTACCGTTTGCAGTGGAGACTGCCCTGGACGGGTTCACATCATTCAACTTAGCACTGTGAACTGTAGGTTCCTCTACCTGCTCTTTCAGGGGTCATTTAGAGCCTCTGAATTAAGCTCATAATTTGGACTAGAATAGACACCTTCCTCCCCAAAAAAAGGGTGGCAAGTGGGACAAGCCTGCTAATTAATGCTGGGGAGTCAGGCTCTGAATTCCCCACATCTTACGCAGCTTTTGCACCACTTGTGATAACAGCTCTTATCTCCAGGTCAGTTTAGCGCTCTGCATATTAACAAGGCAGCTTTGCACTACAAAGCTGCAGCTTTTCTTCCCCATTACTGTCCTTCTGGCTTATCTCAGGACGTGCTCATTAGGAAACTCCTCTAATACTGCCTACGTGACCGCAGTCAAATTTAAAGCAGGTACTCTGCACAAAGCACAGCYCTGGACTCCCCACCTTCTAGAAACTTATTGCACATGTTGGACAGGAGTCTGCTTACAGGGAACTGACTTTGCCAGATGCTGCTTAACTACCTGAAACAAGATTGCTCAGCATGGAGAGCACTCGCACCATGGAAAGCACAAGAAAAATGTAGGACTGCTCCTTATGTGACAACCTCAGCTCCCTTATCCTAACACCTTTCATTACCAAAGACATCAAAAAAAAAAAAAAAAGTATATCTGTGGGTTTCTAGCAGTTCTAATTTAAAGTTAGTATTTGAAGCAATTGTCTTATTGCTAAAAAAAATCAAGGGAAACATCACCACTCCTAGCTGCTATAGTAGATACTAAAGAAGCAAGGGTTCGGTTCGATCCTGATGAAGCTGGCCAATGGCCAGACACAGTGTTTCTGCAGCCTGGCAAAAGCCAAGCAGCACGAGGAGTTTGGAAGCTGAACAGCTCCTGTTTCCACCGGATTAACATATTGCACAAATGCAGCAGCAACCTACCCCTCTGTGTATATACATTCAGCATTCACTGTATTAATTGAATAATACTCAGACTACATAAGCCTGTCTGACAGCAACACAAGTAGATTTAGTCATGAGGCAGTGAAAATGGACATCCAAAGGGCCTCCCCTTTCTTTTTTCACACTGTGAAATGTGCTATGTATATGTGTCATATACTACTCTGGGACAACAAAAAAAAAACGGTCAAAGTTGCACAGAAAAAAACATGCCATGCACTGGAGTTCTCAGTTGTTGCAGGATCACAGATCGGTTAGCCAGCACTAGCTTTCTTGCCAAATTAACTCCACTTGGCAACCAACCTCAGGAGTACATGCTTCTGATGTGTGATAAATAGCASCAAGGCTTCCAAGCTGTTAGTTGTATTTGCAAGCAATTGTGTCTCAGCCACGTTACAAAAGACACAAGCTTGGCATGAAGCCCTGTGTTGCAAGGTGTGCTGCTCTCTCTCTGCTCATATTAGCCATTGCTTAATTTCACAAATATATGTTTATTCTCAACTGTTCCCTTCCTATTTGCAAGACTCCTTCCCACAGAAGGCCATACTTAATTCCGACCAGCACCTTCGTCCTCCTTCCTAGCCCTATTATGGACACACCTCTAATCACAGTTTCCTAATGTGTTCCCTCCCTCTGAGAAATGCCCTGGTTTTGATGCCAGTGTCCCCAGCTCCACACCTTGCTCCCCAATTCCAAGCTAATCCTCATGAGGCCAGCTGAGAGAAAGAGGGGGATTATTTTCAGTGGAAAGATACTGGGGATTTTCCACAGTGGAAAGATGAGGACTGGAGATGGGCAAAACTTGTGACACTGGAATATGTGCAGCAACAGAATAATCTCCCAAGGGTAAAAGACATAAGCTCCTTGGAGGGCCTGGAGTTTCTGAAGGACAGATTAAGCAACATCTACAAAACACACTGCATCAACAGGAAGATGGGCAAGACCATGCAACCGGGCTACTCCATGGAGGCACATTTCTGCACAGTCCTAATGTTAATACCTGCAAAATAATACCTGCATAGTAATAGCACGTATGAAATACATTTCATATTCAGGATTTGTTAGGAAAAGCTTATAAGGAGAAAAAAAAAAAAAAAAAAAAACACAGGGAAAACAGGAATATATGCAGGAGAACCAAAAAATACAGGTGATCACTGCCAGGGTTCCAAGTATCACTGCTCTCACAAAAAGCACCATGGGGATTTCTTATAATTTCTTTAAGCTCTGGAGAGATCAAAGAGCTCAATTATAGTATTTAGCCCTCCCTCCTCTGCATCCTTTCACTACTAATTGTCCTGGCTCCTGCTCTTCCCCTATGTAAAAATGAAAGCACTGGAATGAAGCCTGCTACTGAAGCAAGCAGAGGAAACTTCCACTGATGTCAACAGAATTAGGCCAATTTTCAAAGCAGTGACTTGGGCCCTCCAGTTGGCAAAACAAGAAACACAACTTGTGCAAATGCAGCCAGACTGCCCTTCCCTGCGGGCAGGCAAGCCCACTGAGGGCCGGGCCGTCTCTGCCCTTCTGCACTGGCTTGGCTGCAGCAGGAGAGCAGTTGCTGTGGGGCTGCTGACTCACCCTTTGGTTCCGGCTTTTGCTCTGAGCAGCACACGCTGCTAGTTCCTCAAAGCTTGTGGCAAAAATCTCTCTAGTGCCCACAGATTATAAACTACTTAAAATGAGCATCTAAACTACATAATAAACTGAAAAGAGAAGAAAGTTCATTCTCTAATTAAGAATTTATAAGGCTGGCATTAATCCCTGAGTCTTGTTTCTAAACACAAACTCTTCGCTGAAATCTTTCTGTGTCTCTGAAGACTCATTCATCCCACTAGCTGTGCAACGTTTATGAAGGTAACAGCAATCTCAAATTTGATTACAGTCTGTTCAGACTTTCTGGCATCATCCCTTCCATTTAATTCCAACAACAAGCCCAATACAGAGAAACAAATTAAAACAATAGAGTAAATACCTCAAGTAAAAGGGTGACATAGGCCGTTCATCTTCTTGGGAACTAAAAAAAAAAAACATATTTTTAAAGTTAGTGTGCAGTTCAGACTAGTATTTGCAGTTCAGTTACAGCAAGATAGTCACTCTTAAAAAGCAGAGATAATAAGGGTGAAACTATGTCTACCACACAGGTAGTATTTAAGTCTACTCTATCCTGTGCTTGATCTGCAAGTCATGGAACAGAACTTTAAAGTTACATTCCTTAAATCCTGAGAACCCAACTCATTTTTGAACATTTACAAATGCAGAACAGATCCACTGCTAGACAGTCAGGAGTCACTCCAGCTCTGCGGCAGTTCAGACTCTATTCCCATAGCAACAATATCACTTTTCTGCCAGCAGAACCACAAGGGTCTTTTGCTGCTTGTTGTTCCAGAATTAACAACCTGTCCATAAAAGTGAAAGTGAAGAAAAAAACAAATGACATCTCGAGAGATCAAAAAGAAGGACATTGCTATGTGTACATGCATGCAGCTCAGACTTCCACCACTGAGTTCTTCCGTCCTGGCTTAAAGCTGATTTGACTACACTGAAGTTCTGCTAAACTACAGAGGCAAAACAAGAGAAACACAGATCTGACAGAGACGAGTCAAGTCTGTGTAAAACTGAATGTATCTGAAAAGTTTGTTCCTTGTGGGCTTGAGGCAGCCATTTCCCCTGAGGCTTGCGATCGGGGCTGCATTTGGCTGGCATGCAGCTCCCCTAATAGGTGTTTCAGAGAACTGATCTGGATGAAAAATAGCTATTTTGCATGAAGCCAGGTCAGTTTGCCCACAGATCAATCCCCTGACCAATCCACAAAGATAAGAATGAGTAGTTAGGAGGTTAAGGTTTAATGGTGTGGTTGAACTGATTAAATCAATTCAAAATCCTCTGTTAAAAAGGAACTACACGAACTACACCTAATGCTTGGACTTGTAATTCTTCAGATCAGTGGACTTTCTCCAAGCACATAGGAAATGCCACTGAAATCAATTTGTCCCCAGAGGATTTGAATTGACTAACAAAGAGTGCAGTAAGTCTGGGAGAAAGGCAGAAAAGATTATGGGAACTACTTACTTGAAGCAGAAAAGCTAACATTTCACATGCATGGGAAACAAACATTTTCCTACTGTTCTCCCACCATCAAAAAGTCTCTCCCAGTGCTCAGCAGTGCAATTTACCACAGACATTCAGCCCCAGTTTTGTCAAACAGGTCATGGAGGAACAGACCTGATGTGAAGGTACCGATCATTAAGTTCATACCGAGGATGAGAGATTTATCAAATACACTACGGGTAAGCCTAAATCTGCTTCAAATTCAAATAATTTGAAGATTTCGACTGCTATGAAACACTGACCAGCTTCAAAAGGGATCTGAACTGGATGAAACTTGAATTATTTTTGAAAACTCAGTCTGAATCCATTGCTCTCTTGAATTTTAAATAATTGATCACCTGACAATGGCTTTTCTAAATACGTAACAGAGGCAAAAGGATTGCTCTTGTGGATTTAGTAGCTAGGAGATCAAATACTCACACATACGTAATTTGCAGCTCCCACTGGAATCGAAAGGAAGCTGTCTAAGCAAGACAAGCTCCATCTGGCCCAGCGCCATGAAAGCGCTGTGCTCTTGTAGTCACTATAGCTGCAGGCAGATTTTACCATGGCTTACTTTGAATCTAGTCAATTTTGCAACAGATCTACAAATATGAAAGTGAATTTTATCTAAAAATCGGGAGAAAAGAGTAGAAGATGGGGAGGGTGGGTTAGAAAAAAAAAAGACCAGGAAGAGATAGAGACAGAACAGGATGTTAGGGAAATCACAAGTGTTACTCCTTGCTACAGTGCCAGAGAGGTGTGTGGATGACAGTTACATAGAACACTTCCCAGTCACTACGACAACACATATCTTTTCAGCCCTGCAAGCCTGAAGTAGAGATTCAGAGGTACCACAAAATACGACACCGGAAGGAAGAGAAACTGCTTCTGAAATCAGTGCGGTCTGCCAAAACATTAAACTCCTCTGTAATGCAACAGTGACAGCGCAGTTTTCAGCAGCTCCCTAACTAGACCGCACAGCTGCTGCTGCAAACTTTGCTGCCCCTTCCACGTGTCTGTACAGAGGTGCTTGTGCGAGCAGCCAGGCCAGTGCTAGCTGGGGCTCCTCCTTGTTGGCTGGCGCGTGGAGCAGGGTGCGCACAGGCACGCAGAGCGCACGCTTGGCAGAGCTGCCTGAAAGCTGTGGCCTGCAGCAAGGYATGCAACAGCTGTCTGCATGCAAACGAAGGTGTCTTCCCTTCAGGCTGTTGTGAGAAGCTCTGGGAGGTATGGAAGAGGTGGAAAGAACTGTGCAAGTGCCCATTACTGCTGCCTTGCAGAAGATGCTCTCCAGCAAACACCCAAGTAAGGCCCTTTTCCAGGTCCAGGCTTCTCTTGATGGCATGCACAACATTTTAGTTTGTACCTGCAAGTTATTGCTTTATTTGCAGAATATTCATTGCTTAAAAAAAAAAGAAGAAAGAAGAAAGAAGAAAGAAGAAAGAAAGGAAGAAAGGAAGAAAGGAAGAAAGGAAGAAAGGAAGAAAGGAAGAAAGGAAGAAAGGAAGAAAGGAAGAAAGGAAGAAAGGAAGAAAGGAAGAAAGGAAGAAAGAAACCACTTTAAACTCGTAATATTGTTTGCTCTGTTCATTATGCAATAGCAAGTGCAATATAATGCGAATGCAAGCAAGTCCCAGTGGCACATAGAAAAAGTGAAAAACCAACCCCATGCAGAAAGAAGCCCTGTCAAAATTTCTGTGCATCAGTGCAACTACAAACAACATAAATGCTCTTCAGAATATGTGTTAGTTGTCACATGTACAGTAAATATATTTTCTATAATAGGATCCTCCCAAATAAGGAATCAATTAACTTTCAAATCACAGAATACACAATGATACTGAAAAAGCCCAGATATCTTGCTTGTACTCATGCTCCCACCAATACCTTTGACAAATGAGGAAGCATTACTGTCCTTGATCATGTGTCCTTTGAAAAGAAAATGCTAGAAATCCTTAAGAAATGTTTAACATTTAACTGTACTCTTCTTGGGTTGCGCAATTCCTCTTTGGTCAAAGGGATATATGACCTTTACAAAAAGAAAGGAATGCTTAATACTTGGCACAGAGACTTGGCAACTAAGCTGCTTGTCCACACTGGGGAGGGACAGGTCACTCTGAAGCTCGTTTCCTAATTTCTGCCTTGCGTAGCAAAGAACTGACTCAGTAAGCAGGCAGGTTTAGTGGTATGATTTTTTAACTTCTAAAGCTTTTTCCCATTTTATACACACTTACGGCCAGAAGGCACTTCATAAGCACTTCAGAAGGGGTGAAGGAATTTAAACTAATCAGCTACCACTGATGAGCTGTCCAGACGTGTGAAAGAAAAACTCTGCCATTACTTTCTTCTCAAAAATGCACRTAGTTTTCCCCAGCAAAGGGTTTAAATAGAAATGAATGGTTCTTCATTGTAATACCTGGGAGAGCAACTTCTTATGCAAAGGACATCTGAAAACCTCATTATTTTATTCATGCTAAAAAGCAGAATGAAAAGAAAAATATTTTTAAACTATTCTTGTTTTCTTTATGCTTATTTTACTTCTAAAGAAAGAATATTGTTGTTTTGTAACCTTCATCCTACAAAAAAAGCCAAAAACAAAAAAACAAAACAAAAGAAAAAAACACCACAATCTGCCAGACTGGGAAGAAAGCCAGTATCACTGTCCCTTTAGTTTAGTACCTCTTATGCTCTTGATTTTTAGGAGTTTTTAGCCATGTGTGTTTCACAGCATATATGCAAGGCATCCTGTTTTTCTCTATAAAGGAAATAGGAAAGTGCCTCAAGCTATGCTGAAGTCTAACTGTCAAAGGAGAAGCTTGCATCACATAGTAACAGGTTTTTTTTGCCTTCCCTTTTGTAACAGGAATGTTGCAGGCAACCGTTTGTCCCACCACATTCTCAAATAAATAGGGGTGGTTCCCCCAGCCCCCTTTTTCTTTTTGCTTTCCTTTCAGAACGAGGAAGGGAGCTGGTTCTGGGTTGAAGCTGTAACACACCCGGCCTGATTGCGAGTTCCTGCTTTATTCAGACACATCGCAGGTCTCTACCCTGGCACTGCTCTCTGCTCCCAGCCCCGTGGCCAGCTGGCCTGGGGCTGCCTGGCCTTGCACCTTCGGGCAGCAGGTGCCCCCCTGCCATGGCACCCACTCGCATTTAGGGTGTCAATTCAACCTGCAGACACTCAAATCTCAAAGACTCAGGGCCACCTGCCAGGCTGTGGAACAGAGATGCCAACGTGCTTGCTTCCTTTTGTCACATAAGCAGCTTTACAGAAGTACAGAGTTTGGAGAGGACCTTATTGACTTTCCATGAACTACTTTGTTATTTAGGTGCTAATAGGTCTATTACATTTGCACTTAATTACGAGCAGTCCTTCCTTCCTGGTCTCCTGCCACTGGAATCTCTATTGTAAAATTAAAACTGCTTTCCCACTGAATGTCTCTTTTCAAACGCTAAATGGAAAATTGTCTTGCATATTTATATCAAAAAAAAAAAAGTATTTTTTAAACAGTCATTAAAATGTACTTTGACTCAAATGTCAACGTTTGGCCTCAGACATGAAGGGCCTACATGCTGGCAGGGTGATGCTGCTAAGCCAAGGTCATGTTTTCCTACTGCCTTGCCATGGGCTCTATTTGTTCTGTCCTCAAAAGTTAAGATAGAGCATCGGCTCTCTTTCTATTCCACCACAGTTATTGTGGACTTCAAAAGAAATTAATGAATTTTTAGTGCCAATACTGTTTTCACACGACGAGTCTGTTGCTTTTCATTTTAGCACAAACAAAAGGCCCTTGAAATTCAATGTTAATTGAGTTAGTAATGATATCAGAAGGTAATGCAGCTTTCTGGGGGAGAAGGAAGGTTAAGTTTGAATTACTTGTTAAGACGCCAAAGATATCTTGCTCTCCTTTTCTTCTCACCATG